TTTACGGTAGTATACCGTTTTTGGAAGTGAAAAAGACTGTATAATGTAGTGAATAACCGTAAATTGACATTCCCAGAATTCAAATGTTACATTTCAAATTTGATGTTTTTTTGTTGAAATAACTATGTTTTGGTAGTATACCGTTTTTGGAACTATGTTTCTTCTCAGATTTTTCTTATCAGTTTTGTATATTAGGGTTGTGTGTTACACCTAATGTTGTTAAATGAATGCTTATTGCTTTATTTCAGTTTCATGTGTGTTACCGTGATGGTGTTTGGTGTTTGTGTGAATGACACGGTGCACCTTCTATATAGGTTATTATCTAAAAGCTGCTTGTGATGGGCTTTGGTTCATCATGTGACTTTCTCATCACCACCTGCATTTGGTGGTTATCAGTGTATTACAAAGGTACAAAACAGATTTCAGTACTTCAATAGGTTGGTATATAATAACATTTTATCAGTTAATGAAATTACGGTATTTAACTGTAAATTTAAGTTAAAACCGTAAAACCTAAAACGTTGCTACCGTATTTTTTTACGGTAAAATTCCGGCAACCACAGGTGCCGTTTTTTACCGTAAATTTTAAAAGATTTTTTTACAGTGTATATTTGTGGTGAATTAATGTTTTGAAATACAATAAACCCTTCGAAAAAAAAGTGTGCTTAGTTGCATTGAATGTGCACTGGTAGTGTACTTCAAATCTAAAAAAAACATATTGACCAAACTGGTCCCCATTTATATTAGGTGGCCTTGACTACTATGTACTTACATCAAAAAATAAGTACAAAACACTTATTGCAAAACACTTTTGCTGCTATTGAGGTGGGATACGGGTAAGTTTAGGGACAGGTTTGGTGGTATGGGTAGGTTATGGTGTAAGGGATGGGTCAACAGTGTAATTATAAATGAAATTACAGAAATTAATTACAGATGTAATTAGATGTAGGTATTTTTAAAATATAAGTATAATGTAAAAACATGTATGTAAGTGCATTGTTTCAAATGATTCATTTTAAATGTAAGTACATAGTAGTTAAAGCCACTTAATATAAAGTGGCACTGAATAACCAGAACAACACATGTTATGAGTCTTACTGCTGTTGCATAAGAAAACCTCTGAAACTCATTTCTGAAGTCATATTGTATTCAAGAAGTAATGTACATGTATTGAACAAAACTATTCAAAATATATTATTCGTGAAGAAAAAAACCCTTTAAAACAAAAAAGTCAAAAACGTATATTTTATTAATGGTTATGTTGCTTCCTGTCTGATTATCAGAATTTATTATTATAAATAATTATTGAATTACTAGCGTTTTCATATTTGCTGCCATTATTATTAATATTTACAGTTTTCATTTGCTATTCTGTTGCAAAAACAGTTGGTTTTTATTCTTTTTATTCAAATTTATTTGATAAACAGGATCAAAACCAAATATCCTAATGTTCATGATGAAATCTTGATCAACGAAGTCACTCATGGCAATGTGAGCTTAGTCAATGACAGATTAGCTAGTTAATGTGTTATAATAATCCATCAAAGTTAAGACTGTTTGAGGAAACTAACCAATAGCTATCCAAAATAGCTAGCAGATAGCTTCTGTTGTGCTGACTAAATAATTACTTGAAATTTAATTAACAGGCACACACATTAGGATATGTTACCTCCTTCTTCACTCCCTGTGAGTCTCTGTTATCATGAGGCTACTCCTTAACAATTTAACAACCCTGTTCTGCTCCTCCTCCTGAACTAGCCTGTTCTTACTGGCTCACCACCTGCTCTTTTACTTGATTATTCTGCTGCACAAACTTTGACTCTGCTGATGAAGCAGAGACTACTGCAGTAAACATGTCAATAATCTTTGCACATTTGGCAGCATCCGCCTCCAAACTTTTAAACTTCATATCCTGGAGCTTTTTCAGCTTCTCAGGAGCTTTTTGGTTAGTTCATTTTGAGAGATGGAGAAGAAGGGGGAGGATACTTTATCAACTTTTTTACAAACCCATGGGTCGTTGTCCCTGCATGATGAGCAAGTCCTTGGCAAAAAAAAATAAACCCTTATATCAGCTCCAAATTGTGTTGCCTAGCATGCCAACCCTGGTTTTGAATTTATGTTTTTGTTCAGTGCTTGAAAATTTATTTTCAATACTTTTGGTACAAATCTAATCCCATTAATATAGGGTTTGTAAAATTGTTTTGAGCATTGATAACCCTTGTGCGCTCCTCATTTGGGAGTCACACTCACGGTCTTCGCAGTCAAAAGTGAACGGACACCTGAAATGAACGGACAAAATGAATTTTTTTCTTCTTCAGTAAAATCAATCTAATATATTTTTGTTCAGTAATATTTTTTCTTTTGTATTTTGAGAGAATTGTATGGTACTAATTCATATTTTAAAATAATATTTACAATGTATTAAAATTATTTTTCGATTAATGCAGTATTTCAGATTAAAATAAAGACTAGGCCTTTAAAATCCAGTGTTTGAAGGCAGAATAGCACCTCCTGGTGAGAGCAAAAAACAAACAAACTGTAATTTCATGATGTAACCACTAGATTCCTGTATAGGACTCTATAAAGAGGCTTGTGAATTCTCTAGTTGTTTTTGTACATAATTGTTTACTTTTATTAGGTTGTGGATTTAAATGTATATTAAGGCATTCTCAAAGACTACTTTTTGTCAAGGTTTATATTTTTTGTTGTTTTAAATGTTGATTTGAAGTGTAGGTTTTTGCATTATTATTACTACATTCAAAACAGAACAAAGAAAGCATTTTGTTACACAAAACATTAAAATTCTATAAAACTGTAACAAAAATGAACAGGAATGCTTTATCAGAGCTTAAACCTCTTATTTCAGTCTTCTGACTCATTTTGGTTATATGGTTAGCTATACCAATTCGTTTGAGTATGTATAATTCTGTATGTGTGTGTCTGTTTTAGAGTTTCACCCCTTCATTGCTGTGCAATTTTTTTCTGCATTGTGGGGGATTTGTAGAATGCACACACAAAACAATTCTGTATTTTCGATTCCCCCCCCCCCAATTTCCCATTCATTTCCTATGGTACCATGAATGTGACTATTTTTTTTATGACCACTTAGCTTTTTTCGAATCATGCCCTCAATTTTTTTTTGTGTTCACATACTAAGTTCCATAAAAGTCACCAAGTTTCGTACCATTCTGGTGAAGCTACAATTTTTTAAAATTCTAAATGTAAAATTCTCCGGTCAATTAACATTCATTATTATTTCCCTTGCAATTTAGAGTGGAAGCTGTTTATTTGAAGTCTCAGATTTTTACTTCATTTTAAGTTTTGGGTTTATATTTATGTTCAGTAGTTTTGGCGTGAATCTAATCCTCGATAATGTGTGTGTAAAATTGTTTGAGAACCAACAATTAACATGATTTCTTTCTCTTTTCTTAGTATGGGAACTCGGGTGGACCACTCGTTAATTTGGTAATTATTTCACACTGTGATGTTTCGGTTTTCTGACAGTAGATTTACAAGAATAATTCAACCAATGTTTTTACAAATCTGTATGAAACACAAACGTTGAACTTTTAAAAATATCCACTCTTTTCTATATAATTTGAATATTACATTTCAGTCTGCTTTTCGAAAATTCCCCTTTTGTTTCATAAAAGAAGGAAAGACAGGTTTGGAATGACACATTGGAACAATACAACGACAAACATACTGATACTGAATTTTTCTTCTTGTTTTGTCTTCTATAAGGATGGGGAGGTGATAGGAATCAATACCCTGAAGGTAGCTGCAGGAATCTCCTTTGCCATTCCTTCAGACAGGATTACTCGCTTCTTAAATGATTCATTAGGAAAGCAGAACAAAGGTACATGGTGCAACTTTTGTGCAAGGGAATTTGTAGGGAGGTCAGAGTATGAATCATCTAATACTAAACATATGTTTTATTTTTTAGAGTCATTCTTGCAGGATTAAATGTGTTAACACATTTACATATTGTTTCAGAGCCAAGATCAGTGAAGAAGCGTTTCATTGGAATCCGAATGCTCACCATCACAGAAGAGTGAGTGTCCTTCACTACAGACGCTAATACACAACACATGTAAATGAACACCGCAGTGCTGTTTAGTCATTGTGTGTGTGTATGTGAGGCGTTCTGTCTGTCTCCTCCAGACTGGTGGAAGAGCTGAGGCAGCAGAATCCTGATTTCCCTGATGTCAGCAGCGGGATCTATGTCCACGAGGTGGTTCCTCACTCCCCTGCTCAGAAGTAAGCATCAGCCAAACCAGATGCTCTTTGGTCTTTCTGTTGTGGTTGGGTTTCATAAGTCCAAGCCAAGTAGTTTAGCTCTGTCTGAGCTGAGTGGATGACAACATATTGAAGATCACGATTAACTATGAAATGACAGATTTGTATAATCCAGGTTTATGTAATAAATCTTGGCCTTTTTTCAAAATGTTTGATTGATTCAAGATAACGATTTTGATGTATTAACATGTAACTAGTCAACTTAAAAATGAAACTACAACATGATTCAAATAACATTCTCCTTGTTAAATAATATAAAACTAGAAAAAATGGCAAATTGTAAATCAAAAAATCAAAATGTAGAGATTCACTCACATTTTTTGTTGTTGCTGCGTTTCAACTCAACTCACGCCACTTAAACTCGCAACTTTTCCATTTCCACTGCCTGTGTCTCATGTTTTTCAATGTAATAACACATTCTGTATGAATAGCCACTATTGATATGATTTATGTTACGTTCCTTCATAGAGCCTGGTTAATCAGGTGCATTGTTATTGGCAGTCAGATGAGTTTTGTTTCTCTTAGCTGTTATCGTTGGTGTATTGCCAACCTGTCGAATTCTAACATTTTATGCACAACTCAAATTCCCTTATTTAAAAAAAAAAAAATTGTGGCAAGACATTACATTCAAATTATATAATACAATTATAAAAAATGGCCCAGCCCTAGAGAAGTAATAGCATTTGTCAAAGTGAAGGTTTCATCACTACATATTCTGGAATGAAGACTTAAAGGGATAGTTCACCAAAAAATGAAAATTCTGTCATTAATTACTCACCCTCATGTCGTTCCAAACCCATAAGATCTTCGTTCATCTTCTGAACACAAATTAAGATATTTTTGATGAAATCCAAGAGCTTTCTGACCCTCCATAGACAGCAACGCAACTACCACATTCAAGGCCCAGAAAGGTAGTAAGGACATCGGTAAAATAGTTAATGTGACATCAGTGGTCCAATCATAATTTTATGAAGCTACGAGAATACAGAAGAGAAGAAAATATTGAATAAAGTAGTTCTTTTTGTTTTCTTTGCCCACAAAAAGAATTCCCGTAGCTTTTCGTACACGTAATGTACTACTTCTGTCTAAGCAGAGGCTGTAAGATAATAAACAGTAAAACATTTTTAATAATTTAACTCAAATTAATATTTCTTATCTACATATTTATTTATTTTGCTCCTCTGTGTCAGTGTCCTGATCACCTGTCAGGATTTATTTTACAATTAGCTCTATATGTTGTCCCTTACAAATTCAAGTACACAACTGACAATTGTCGTGTATAATTTCTCCAAATGTGTTTCAGAGGGGGCATCAGAGACGGGGATATCATCGTTAAGTTAAACGGAGAGCCCCTGATGAGCACCAGCGACCTGAAGGAAGCGCTCAACCAAGACACGACTCTGCTGCTGGAGGTGCGCAGAGGCAACGACGACCTGCTCTTCAACATTGAGCCTGACGTCATCATGCAGTGATGTCAGCATCTGTTCGAAATGTGAACCATGAAGACATTGGTTTTATCATATCAGTCATGTGCTGTCGTGGCCAGAGGGATGTCTAACAGCGCATCCTTCTACAAAACAAGGACCTCTTTTACAAGTTAGAGGAATCTAACCTTGAGCTTTTGCAATCTTGGTCAAGTCTGCCTTAGAGATTTTATATGAAAGGCATTTCATAACAGCACACTCTCTTTGAAGTTTGGAGCGGAGAATGATTTTGTTTATTGCAAATATGAAAACGTGCAGTTGGGGAGAGTGGGGACGGTTGCAACATAGCTTTTTTCTTCAATCAGGAATGAGCTACAGTGATGGTATTCATACTGCACATGCTCAATCAGCCCCTCATCCTTCCTGGATGCAGTCAGGCACATGTGACCATTCCTTCTACAAATAATAATTTGCATGGTAAAAAAAAATAATTTTTTTTAATCATCAAATTTTTTTGTCATACTGTCTAAGTCGGGGTTCCTCAAATCTTACCCTGGAGGTCCAATGCGCTGCAGAGTTTAGCTCCAACCCTGATCAAACTCAGCTACCTGTGATTTTCTAATGATCCTGAAGCCATTGATTAGCATGCTCAGGTGTGTTTGATTAGGGTTAGAGCTAAACTCTGCAGGAAAGTGTTTCTCGTGGGCCAGATTTGAGGATCCCTGGTCTAAGTTGTTTGCGTGAAACATTGTAAAAACATATGATTTATATCTGTGTTTTCTTAGCTTCTAATAGGCATAGCTAGCATGTGTCAAAGATATTGTGTCAAGCTAATATACCAAGTTATGTCACGGCTGTCAGTGTGGGGACAGTTGAATCACACTGTTGCAACCGTCCCAACATGCTGTCCCTTACCACAACATTGATGTAAAAGCCTGACCCTCCATAGACAGCAACGCAACTACCACATTCAAGGCCCAGAAAGGTAGTAAGGACATCGGTAAAATAGTTCATGTGACATCAGTGGTCCAATCATAATTTTATGAAGCTACGAGAATACAGAAGAGAAGAAAATATTGAATAAAGTAGTTCTTTTTGTTTTCTTTGCCCACAAAAAGAATTCCCGTAGCTTTTCGTACACGTAATGTACTACTTCTGTCTAAGCAGAGGCTGTAAGATAATAAACAGTAAAACATTTTTAATAATTTAACTCAAATTAATATTTCTTATCTACATATTTATTTATTTTGCTCCTCTGTGTCAGTGTCCTGATCACCTGTCAGGATTTATTTTACAATTAGCTCTATATGTTGTCCCTTACAAATTCAAGTACACAACTGACAATTGTCGTGTATAATTTCTCCAAATGTGTTTCAGAGGGGGCATCAGAGACGGGGATATCATCGTTAAGTTAAACGGAGAGCCCCTGATGAGCACCAGCGACCTGAAGGAAGCGCTCAACCAAGACACGACTCTGCTGCTGGAGGTGCGCAGAGGCAACGACGACCTGCTCTTCAACATTGAGCCTGATGTCATCATGCAGTGATGTCAGTATCTGTTCGAAATGTGAACCATGAAGACATTGGTTTTATCATATCAGTCATGTGCTGTCGTGGCCAGAGGGATGTCTAACAGCGCATCCTTCTACAAAACAAGGACCTCTTTTACAAGCTGAGAGGAATCTAACCTTGAGCTTTTGCAATCTTGGTCAAGTCTGCCTTAGAGATTTTATATGAAAGGCATTTCATAACAGCACACTCTCTTTGAAGTTTGGAGCGGAGAATGATTTTGTTTATTGCAAATATGAAAACGTGCAGTTGGGGAGAGTGGGGACGGTTGCAACATAGCTTTTTTCTTCAATCAGGAATGAGCTACAGTGATGGTATTCATACTGCACATGCTCAATCAGCCCCTCATCCTTCCTGGATGCAGTCAGGCACATGTGACCATTCCTTCTACAAATAATAATTTGCATGGTAAAAAAAAATAATTTTTTTTAATCATCAAATTTTTTTGTCATACTGTCTAAGTCGGGGTTCCTCAAATCTTACCCTGGAGGTCCAATGCGCTGCAGAGTTTAGCTCCAACCCTGATCAAACTCAGCTACCTGTGATTTTCTAATGATCCTGAAGCCATTGATTAGCATGCTCAGGTGTGTTTGATTAGGGTTAGAGCTAAACTCTGCAGGAAAGTGTTTCTCGTGGGCCAGATTTGAGGATCCCTGGTCTAAGTTGTTTGCGTGAAACATTGTAAAAACATATGATTTATATCTGTGTTTTCTTAGCTTCTAATAGGCATAGCTAGCATGTGTCAAAGATATTGTGTCAAGCTAATATACCAAGTTATGTCACGGCTGTCAGTGTGGGGACAGTTGAATCACACTGTTGCAACCGTCCCAACATGCTGTCCCTTACCACAACATTGATGTAAAAGCTTGCAACTATTGCAACCGTCCCCTGTTGTGGGGTCAGTTGCAACATTTGACTTTGTCTATTCAAGTATAAATTGTATATAATCATGTGCACGTGTTACAGCAATACGGGTGAGTAGCTGACTGATGTGGCTTTATTGTATTAAAATTCTGGGTTTCTAATGCAAACAGTCTCTGAGAAACTAAAGCAAATGCGGAAAGTGTTGCAACCGTCCCCACTCTCCCCTACTGTATTTTGTAGAAGAAGACAAAACTGGTGATATTTTATAGCCAATCCACAATGAGTCCACAATGATATGTTAAGCTTTTTAAGTTGAAATTTCAATAATATATATATAACAATATCTAATAAATATTATAAATACACAGAACCACCTCATAAATAATAATAGATTTTTATAAATATATATATTTTTTCAATCTTATAGATTAGTATGTGGATTCTCTTCTTGATAAATGTCTCAACATTCATTGCTGAAACTTCATTGTGGCACCAGTGGCAAGAATCAATTGCTGTGCAAGGTTTTTTTTTAATACATTTGATATAATTTGTGCAGAATGACGAATGACATTTTTATGGTCATTTTGTCCAAACAAATCTTGTGTGCTCTTTATATGCAGATATGAGAGTGAGACGTCTTCTGTTCATGTAATCTGTTTATCAGTCTGTTTATGCTCATGTTCCTTTCTCAAATGTCTACAGTATATTATATGTCTTGATTACAATTAGGCCTGTCATGATAACAACTTTTTGTTGTGCGATATATTGCCCCAGAAATAATTGCGATAAGCGATATTATTGCCATTTTTTTATGTAACATTTTTTTAAGGCCTACACACTTCCAAATGACAACAAACTTTTAATTTTTAAGAATATTTAGATCATGAAAATTAGGTATCAAAATACTAGATACCTTAAAAAACTGAATAAATAGTAAATAAACATTTTTTAACAAAAAGTGCAAAGTAGCAAGAAGAAAAAAAGAAAAATGCACAAATAACTTGTATGGAGATTTTTCCATCTACAAATTTTTTTCTGACCTTTTCTCTGTAAATTAAGGGTGCACACTATTGCTGAAAAACACAGTCACTACTTAGCAGTCAGATGTCCGTATGCACAAAGGCACAGATCCCTAAACAAGACCATATCTGCAGATGAAACTTTGTTTGTAGAAGCATTTTTTAAATTTGAACTAGCACCTCATGACTACACCACGTTATGTACGAGAAGCTGCAAAAGACACAGGCGCAAGTGGAATGTACAAAACATGATGACATTAATTTTTAAGTAAATATAATGAGTGATATATTGCGTCACCAAAAATTATTGAGGTCATGGATATATTGCGCGATAAGTCGATATATTGATTATTGCGACAGGCCTAAATACAATGTCTTCAAATATGCTCATGTAATTGTTGGTTCTCTTCAGCTGGATCTATGAATGTTGGGCCTATGAAATAAACCTTTCTCAGAAAAGAATCACTTGGCAGATTGGTGGATGATAAATGTTGAATTTTAACAGAGCAGTCAGTTGAAAATTTAAAGGGGTCATATGATGTTGCTAAAAAGAACATTATTTTGTGTAATGAAATGTGTTTATGCGGTTTAAGGTTCAAAAAACATTATTTTACACATACTGTACATTATTGTTTCTCCTCTATGCCCCGCCTTTCTGAAACGCGTCGATTTTTACAAAGCTCATCGGTCTGAAAAGCGAGGTGTGCTCTGATTGGCCAGCTATCCAGTGCGTTGTGATTGGCCGAATACCTCAAGCGTGTGACGGAAATGTTACGCCCCTCACCATACTGTGATGCCCTGTCCGGCCGGAGCATAACATAAAACCATGTCTGCATTTGTGATCGGAGAAATGACAAACAACAAGCACTACTCTACACTGCTCAAAACTCACGTTTGAATCATCAGTGGCAAATCCTTTAAATGAAAACGTACTTACAGACGGTGAGTCAGAACAGCCGGCATTGTAGTCTACTCTACCAGGATCAGGAAACAATCCTCCATAAAATGTGCTGCACACATCTGAATATTTGGGTTGAACTGTTCTGGAACAGTGTTGTAAATACAACTTAACCACTGATTTCTGGTCGTGTCCTCTTTTGGAAGACCAAACAAAGAAGTTTCGCTTTCACAACGAAAAAGCGTCACACCGCGGCCTTGAGTGAGCGGAGGCCGGCTTGAGTGAGCGGAGGCGGGCGGGCTTGAGAACGGCTCGGCTGGTGGATTCGACGAAGGAGCGGCCGGCAGGCTTGCGGCAACCACATGTGACGACCCCGGACTGGACTCCGCTTCGTCCACGGTGAAAGCCGATCCGGCGATCCACAGCGCGAAGTTGATGTATTTCCTCAGCAACCAGCACGGATCAGCTCTAGGCATGACGAAGCGATATCGTCCTCTTTTGGAAGAACAAACAAAGTAGTTTCGCTTTCACAACGAAACACTGCGTCTTCACGCCATGGCGGCGGCAGCAACAACAATACTACAGCGAGAATAAAAGTTACGCCTTCTTTCTTTGCGTGAACATTTGGGCAGCGTTATGCAAATCTTCCTACATCGTGACGTAGACATGTGGGGGCGTGTTAGAATGAGCTGTTTTAGGTAGGCGTGGTTGACTCTTAACTTTTATAAAGAATATCTCTTTGGATTTGAGACTTTAGTCTTTGCAACTTTACAGATCTTCTTTATGCACCAAGAGCTTGTAACACTCTAAA